TTTTTTTTTTTTTAAGTCTCTTATGCTCATTTATCAAGGCTGCATTTATTTGATCAAAAATACAGAAAAAAAAACATAATATTGGAATTTAAAATAACTGTTTTCTATTTTAATATATTGTAAAATGGAATTTATTCCTGGGATGCAATGCTTAACTTTCGGCATTTTTTCTCCAGTCTTCAGTGTCACGCGATCCTTTAGAAATCATTTTTGATGAGCATAAGAGACATCTTTAAAAAAAAAAAAAAAAACATTAAAAATCATACTGATCCCAAACTTTTGAACGGCAGTGTAGTTCAACTGTAAAAATAAAAAATAAAAATAAAAAAAAATAAAAAAGTAAAAATAAAATAAAATATATAACTATATATACATTAAATTAAATTAGATCAAAATGAATAAGATCAACTGCACTGCACTACCACAACTTACTGAAAACTATTAAACGTTTATGAAGAGCTGAAATCACACTGCTTTAAAGGAAAAGGGTGTTCTGGATTTATAACAAACCAAGAGCTTCATTACAAAATGGAATAATCGCTTTCTCTTATTTTCATAATCCTGAAAATAAAGTTTGATTAAACAGCATGCCCGAACCTCTGTGATGTTTTGCTCTGTAGAAATCGAGTTGAAGTTTCTGAGAAGCGCATAACATTATTTTCTAACCCTTTTCTGTCTCTCTCTCTCCCTCATTTGTCTGGTTTTGTTGACAGCTACCTTCAGTCCCGTCACGCTCTTGCTGTTCTTTGTGCTGTATTTTTTTCTGAGCTGTTGGACATATGGTGTCTCTGTCCCCAGTGGGCTGTTTGTCCCGTCTCTTCTCTGTGGAGCTTCACTTGGGCGTCTAGTGGCCAATGTCCTCAAAATGTAAGATTTATTCTGGTTTACTATCTCATAAGCACTGCCAAGGGCACCTGTTCGAACAGGACACATACGTTTATCATATCTTATGCATCATAATTTCTCAGCCCACACTTATAATGCTGTTTTTTAATATGTGTAATTGCAGCAACTTTCACATGCAAGTATATGCGGGGACCTTTGCCTTGATTGGAGCAGCTGCCTTTCTAGGAGGTGTGGTCAGAATGACCATCAGCCTGACAGTCATATTAATTGAATCGACCAATGAGATCACATACGGACTTCCCATTATGATAACACTGATGGTAGGAATACAAAAATCACTAAATGACATTATATGTGACCCTGGACCACAAAACCAGTCATAAGGGTAAATTTTTTGAAATTGAGATTTATACACCATCTCAAAGCTGAATAAATAAGCTGATCATTGATGTATGGTTTGTTATGACAGGACAATATTTGGTCGAGATACAACTATTAGAAAATCTGGAATCTTAGGTTGCAAAAAAATCAAAATATTGAGAAAATCATCTTTAAAGTTGTCCAAATGAAGTTCTTAGCAATGCATATTACTAATCAAAAATTAAGTTTTGATATATTTACGGTAGGAAATTTACAAAATATCTTCATGGAACATGATCTTTACTTAAATGTCCTAATGATTTTTGGCATAAAAGAAAAATCAATAATTTTGACCCATACAATGTATTTTTGGCTATTGCTACAAATATACACCAGCGACTTAAGACTGCTTTTGTGCTCCAGGGTCACATATTGCAAAATTAGAATTTAATGAGTTAAAAAGTACAACTTACTTGAAACATGCACTTCTAACTGGCATTGTGTGTCTGTAAGGTGGCCAAGTGGACAGGCGATTTCTTTAATAAGGGAATATATGATATTCATATTCACCTGAAGGGAGTCCCGCTGCTGGAGTGGGAAACAGAGGTCGAGATGGACAAGTGAGACCAATTTATTACACTTGCCACAGTTTGTAGCCCAGAAGTGTTTAAATATTAAGCTACACTTAATTTCAGGTCTCTGTTTCATAGCATTATTTGTAATCTAATGCAAGTTCTAAGAAAAGTATGATGTTTTGATTTCTAATGCAATGATATTCATTCATTAAGTGCCCAAATATGTATTTTTTTTTCTTTATTTCTTGTCAACCGGATGGTTATATACACAGTTTGTGTCTGCTGTGACTTATTTGTCTTGCTTTTTATTTATTTATGCTATTTTCTCTTGATCTCTCTGTTAGATTAACGGCCAGTGACATCATGGAGCCCAACCTGACATATGTGTATCCTCACACCCGTATCCAGTCTCTGGTCAGCATCCTGAGGACCACCATCTATCACGCTTTCCCCGTCGTCACCGAGAACAGAGACAATGAGAAGGAGTTCATGAAGGGCAATATCCTCATAAGCAACAATATCAGGTTTAAGGTACAGCATGACACCAGTATTGAACTACAGCGGTTTGACCACAAGATGGTGCAAACAGACTGTTTTTTTTTTTACGCCTCGCTCAGTAGCACAGAAATGATTTTTATCAGCTTTGATACTCCGGTCATGTACTTTGGTGTAATATCACTTCTGAGTGATCAAACTTGTGATATTTTTTTTTTTTTTGAATGGTGGATGATAAAATTATCTACATTTTAACTAAGGAACTGAGCCATGATTAGAGATCAGATTATCATGGAGAATTGGAAGGTGGCTCTTTTGACTTGAACTAATGCATTTTTTCTCATTTGCTTTAGTTTTGTCCTTGAAACAGCTCGTACAAACAGAACCACACAATGGTGCTGCAAAAGGCTTACAACCTGCAAAAAGCCTATAACTTGCTCAAAATTTCTATCAATGAACATCAGTGCCATCACAAAAAGTTCTCGTGTCATTGTTCACAAATAAGATCAAAATGCTTAGCCAATGTTGTCAATATAACCGTATCCTCTGTCAGTATTTCTTGATGTAAACGATGGCTACGGTTTTGATGACAATTGAAAATGCACAAAATCACCATTTGAGCATTGATGGAATAAAAATTAATTATTATAAAAAATTATTAATATGTAATAACTTTGGGTAAAACAATATTTAATCCACTCTCCACTTTCAAAATCTTACAAAATCCAAGTCCTACAATATTTTAATTTAAATATTTGGTTTTACTTGGAAATATTTCACATTATTGAGGTGAAATGCATTGTGAATGTGGTTACATGTTGCAAGGCTCGAAATTGCGACCATTTTGGTCGCATATGCTCCCAAAATTTAATCTCAAAATATATTTGGGAGCATTTGTGCGAGTGCATATAATTGTTGTCGTGCGACGTGTTTTCATTTCTCTAATAACGTTCAGAGTATGTGCCTTCTGAGTGTTGATATGGTGGCCGTTCTATGAAACATTAGGCTACATAACCAATAAAACTTCATCTTTACATTCTTAAAGGTGGGGTAAGCGATTTTTCAAAAACACTTTAGAAAACTGATTGGGGCTGACTAGCAAAACAAACTTGTAGCCAATCAGCAGTAAGGGGCGTGTCTTAACATTGGTTTTGCTTTGTTTCACAGAACTAATCGTTGCCTGGGTTGCGTACGTATGTGTGGGGCGGAGCTATCAAAATAGGGGCGAGACCCTTTTTGAGTAGGGGCATGTTTGTTTTGGTGATTTCAAATGTCAACATTGGCTACGAGAAATCACTTACCCCACCTTTAACTTTAATGCAGATTTTAGATTGGTTAATATTAGCTGTCAATCACCCAGTCACTGCTTTCCGCTGTCAGGTGACAGGGAGCTAACTACCGCGGGGAATGTCAGGCGTTCTGTGCAACTGGCAGAGCTGAATGTAAAATTTAACACCGCATGCACTGTCCTAACCCTTGCCCAATAAGAGCTTAACTTTAGGTTGTTTACAAAATAAATCTGTCAGTGTTCGTTTCATTTTCCCTTTCTTTTTCTTAGCGGAAAGCAGTGACTGAGAGATTGACAGCTAATATTAACCAATATAAAATCTGCATTAAAGTTAAGAATGTAAGGATAAAATCTGTTAATATATAATTTGTAGTTGTGATTCTCCTAAATTTTTGGTGAGTGCTCCTAAATTTTTGCTGGTGCTCCTAACATTTTGAAGTTGGGAGCACCAGTGCTACCAAGTAAAAAAGTTAATTTCGAGCCCTGTGTTGCCTTTAAAATGTCTAGAAACTCTGAGATCAAGTTAAACAATAGCTTTACTAAACACTCCATTATGCATTACACAAGGGGGGGGGGGCTTATGGTATATAAGTGTATACCATTTACTTGGTATATATATACCAAGTTCTGTCATGAAACTCTACATGGCTCAGGCTGATGGGTCCTTAACGTAACTGATGATATTCTTAGCATTAAAAGACTTGTCAGAAGCTAATTGGTTCATGTTGCATACGCAGCCAATGAGCTTGCTGCTTTACATTTAAATGGCTGACTAGTATTCTACGGGTTATTTTATATGCTATTTGTGCAGCAGCAGTATGTCTTAAATACTCACAGCACCATATCAGCTTTTGTATTGGCAGTAGCAAGTTCCTGTACTTGTACTTATAACCAACAGCAGCACATTAATATTTTTTTTTTGCATAATATATCAATTGATGTTTGTTTATAGTACATGAACTAATGTCCATTTAACTTTAAAATGTAAAATTTAATGTACTGTAAAATTTGGCGAATTAATATTAATCTTCATATGTTCAATGTATTAATATGTGCAGAAATTAACTTTATGTAGTATTAATAAAGGCTGCAAAATGATTGTTCATTGTTAGTTCATGATACCTAATGCATTAATGTTAACAAATTGAACCTTATAGTATGTCTTTTTGTTCTCATGTCCAAAAAACCCGGTTTCTCTCTGATGTTTCCTCTCCTTCAGAAAAGCAGCGTGTTGACGCGTGCAGGGGAGCAGAGGCGGAGGTGTCAGTCCATGAAATCATACCCGTCAAGTGAGCTGCGCAACGTGTGTGACGAGCAGACTGCTGTGGAGCCGGCAGAGGAAGGGCAGGACATCCTTCAGCAGATGCTGGAGAGGAGGTCAGGCGATGAACTTTGACCTTTTACCTCCAGAACTATTATCACCCTGTTACCATAACACAGTACTCTGCATGTAGTGTATATTGTCACACAAATATTTACTCCATATTCTGTACTTATGCAGTGTTTATAGCTAGAAGTCCACTTATAATTTTATTCAAGGTTTCTTACACCAAAAACAGCATTTAGTGACACACTTTGAATTTAACAGGTTTTTACTCCTTTATCTTTAAAGGGGATCTATTATGCCCCTTTTTACAAGATGTAAAATAAGTCTCTGATGTCCCCAGAGTGTGTATGTGAAGTGTTAGCTCAAAATACCCTACAGATAATTTTTTATAGCTTGTTGAAATTGCCATTTTTAGGGTATGAGCCAAAATGCACTGTTTTTTTTGTGTTTGTCCCTTTAAATGAAAACGAGCTGGTGCTCCCGCCTCCCCTTTCAGAAGAGGGTGGAGTTTCTAGAGCTCGCATACCGGCTTCATGCCAGCAATAACAAAACGCTCTCTCACGCACTGAAAATGTCAGAAACTGCTAGTAGCGGTGTTCAGCCATACATGTTCGAACCGGTGTCGTGCCGAATTCTGCACCCTGCCAGATTATTCATGAATTACACAGACGGGGAGCACGGCACTATAAAAATAACAACATAGCTGGTCTCATGGTGCCATGGCTCAGATTTCGGGAGTAAATGGAGAGAGCTATGTGGATTAATACATCCAGCAACAGAACACCTAAAACGCTTGGGAGACATTCTCGTCAGTGCAACAGTGGCGGATTGTGTACAACTCGCTGTGAACTCGCTCGCTATGTTAAAACGGCAGTCTGTCAACATTCGTGGGCGGGGCCTGTGGCTAATGTGACGTCACACTAGCACCAATGCTAAAAATAGGCCATTGTGAGACACTGCTTATTATTTATGGGGATTAAAAAAAAAGGAGTGGGTGGATTTTTATCATTATAGGGTGGTTGTGTACACGCACTGCCAACACACATTTATGTCCAAACACCTTGCAAAAGTGAATTTTGCATAATAGGTCCCCTTTAAGACTCCTAAATATAATCCAGGGCAGACCAGTTAGCTGAATATTATAAATATAGAAGATCATATATAATTTTTGAATGGTTTCCTTTATGCTGTTTATTTTTAATAAATGATGTTAGTGGACTGGGAAGGAGCTTTGAATTGTGACAGTATTGTGGATGAGACAAATGTTTTTTTTTCTCCACACGAGTCCTTTAAATGAGTCTGCTGTCTGTTGTTGTGGTGGATGTTGGCAGACATGTGCCGTACCCAAACCTGTACCCGGACCAGTCTCCCAGTGAGGAGTGGACCATGGAGGAGAGGTTTCGGCCGCTCACCTTTCACGGGCTCATCCTGCGCTCGCAGCTCGTCAACCTGCTGATCTGCGGCGTCTGCTACGCTGAAAACCAGTCGGTCAGTGTCAGTCAGAGCCCTCCTTCTGTGCCCTTTCTCCTTCCTCCCTTTTGTTTGTTCTCTTCCTGTCTCTTCTCCTACTCTCTGCCTTTTATTTTCCTCATCTTACTCTATCAGTCTTTTCAAAGGTGGTCAGATCTTCACTTATGGTTATGCCCTATACTTACGGTTACTTGAAAGTGAATATGAAATTATACTGATTCAATTTGCGTTATCAATAACTGTTTCTGGTTTTATGTTTTTTATATATTATTAAAATGTAATCTCCACCATTTTGCAAATGTAATCAAGACCACATGGGCAGGGAAGAAAATTATTAACTAATGATCTAACATATTTCGTCCAATCAAATCCCACCAAGTAAAATCAAGTCCTGTACACTTCATTATTTTATTTCTAGATAGTCTGCTTCGCTCAGAAATATGTTAATATTTTCATCAAATATTAAGATCTTTTTTATTAATGACACCATGCCCTCCTGTTTTCTTAACCACGGATCACAACCCAGTGATTTCTATTGAATGCGCACATGCAGTGTGCTTTAAATCTTAAAAGTAAAAAAATGTACTTGCAGAAAATATAATATTAATAAAATAAAAGGCCACTTAAGTGTACTTAGAGAGTGTGCATGCATGACATCACTTTTAAAAAGTGCACTTTGTTGTAAAGTAAAAAAAATATATATATCTTGATGTATTTTAAGTATTAATTTATAATTTTTTGGCATGCTTTAAAGAAGTACACTTGATGTGTTGACTAAATACTAAAGCACATGTAATGTACTTGATACTTGAATGTTAAATATTTAGTGTTATTTGATATTACATTTAATGAATTTTCATTTTGTGCTAAATTACGACTTCATCATTACAGATATATTTAAATAACGTGATAACATAATATAAATAACGTAATAAATAACGTAATATATTTAAATGACATTTAAAATATATTTTAGTTACCATAAATGCTGGTCAGTACATTCTGCCGTCATTTTAAGTCCTACTTAAAAGTGGTCAAAAAGCACTCAAAAGTTCATCTCATTGCATGTAATATAAATTTAAACTATAAGATGTTGTTTAATTTAATAATTTTGTTTAATAAAATGCAAGTAAGAGTCTTAAAATTTTACATTCAGTTTGCATGCAAGAATAGTCTTTTAAAGTATATGATTTCCATAATAAGTAAAAAGTGTAAAGTGTAGTACTTTTTCAGAAGGGTCTCTTTAGTGATAATCAGTCTATATTGATACTTAATTTTGACCTGCTTGAACTGTTCACCGCACTATTAGATACAACCAAATAGATAGAGCAGCCTCTCTTCTCTGCCCTCTGTAGAGCGCCTCACAGACACGGCTCTCTCATTCAGAGATGACTGAGGATTACCCACGATTCCCTGACATCCACGATCTCGACCTGGCCCTTCTCAATCCACGCATGATTGTGGTAAAGTCCTCTGACCCATCAGACTCTTCAGCAGCTCATAAACTAGTGCTCTATGTGTCAGTTATCTATGATGTGTGCTGTTAATTGGAAGTGTTGAAGTGCTCTTGTTGTAAAGTGAGCCATGCAGTGATGACAGTTTGTTCAGCGGTCTCTCTCAGACATAATTAGCCTAATTTTTTTTTGGGGGGGGTGGGGTTTGTTTTTATTACAGGACGTGACTCCTTACATGAACCCCTGTCCATATACAGTCTCTCCAAATACACACGTCTCCCAAGTATTCAATCTGTTCAGGACCATGGGGCTTCGACACTTACCTGTAGTCAATGCTGTGGGAGAGGTACGTCTACCACACAAACATTTAAACGCGTCGATGCAAACAGTGACAAAGAAATATAGAAACAACCTACTGTCTTCAAACGTGTGTGTCTTTGTTCAGTTATACTTTTAAAGGAATAGTTGCCTAAAAATAACAATTCTGGCATCACTTTATTACTTTTGGAGTACACGGTTAATCAATTCAATTGATGATTCAGAGGTTTTCAATTCAATTCGGGAACATTTTTTGCAATTTTGCAAAATGATTAAATTCAGTCTGATTCACAATGAAATTCAATGTCAATGAATGATTCGATTTTGTATTTCAAAGTGCATTCATAGGAGTATTTAAATGCTTCTAATGTGCTAGGTTATTATTATTATTTATTTTTTTATATTCATCACACAAGCAGTGCTTTCCTGAATATATCAGCACTTGTGCGCGATCACAAATGTGTTATTAACTTTATATACAACTGTGCAGAGCAGCAATGCGGTGTTTCATTTCTGAATGAATATGTTTTTGAACGATTCAAGTGAGCCAGTGATTCATTGACCCATTCATAAAGGCAGTCACATGCTTCGTTTCTAATTGAATCAGCCGTTTTGAACGAATCGTTTGACAGAATGATTCAGTTAATCATTTATTAAAACAGGGACTTGCTGCCACCTACTGGCAGTTTGTGTCATATTTATTCATTTCATGTTATTTCATTTATTCATACAGAAAAATATTGGTTAATTATTGACAAAAATCCCCCATTTCAGGCCCCAGAAGGAAAACGGCTTATAAGTCATAGTTAATTTAAGAAAGCTCATTTTTTGTTAAAGTGTAAAGTTAGGTACAGGACACCCACCCCGCCATCCCCCCTGAATTTTTTATTTTTTTTTTACAATTCGACCACTGGTTATTATAATATTATTATATTATATTAGTACTATCAAACCTTTACAATTAATCCAGAACGCGGCAGCAAGATTAATTTTTAACGAGCCGAAAGAACGCACATCACACCTCTGTTCATCAATCTGCATTGGCTACCAGTAGCTGCTCGCATTAAATTCAAGGCATTGATGTTTGCCTACAAAACCACCACTGACTCTGCACACCTTTAGCTAAATTCATTACTTCAGAGTTATGTGCCTCTAGAAGCTTGCATTCTGCAAGCGAACGACGCATTATTGTTCATCCCAAAGAAGCACAAAATCACTTTCACTGACTTTTTCATTAACTGTTCCCTCCTGGTGGAATGACCTGCCCAAATCAATCCGAATCCTTAGCCATCTTCAAGAAACAACTAAAAACACATCTGTTCCACCTTTATTTGACCCTCTAACTCTAGCACTGTCTATTCTAATTCTATTCTTTATAAAAAACTTGCCCCTTTTAGACTTGCACTCTATTTATTTACTAACTGCTTGTTTTCTTAAAAAAAAACAAAAAAAACTATCTTCTCTAATCTTTTTGAATTCTATCTATTTGTTTTCTTTTTATTTATTATACAGTTAACAAAAGCAAAAGAAGGCCTCTAACACTAGCTTGCTCTATTCTTTCTATTCTATCCATTTTCTTTTTATTATAGAATTAAAAAAAAAAACCTTGCTACGTGTACTGCGTTAAGCTAACTGAGACTTGTTATAGCACTTGCATATCATTGCTCTTTTGTTAGTTTTGACTGCTTTTATTGTCCTCATTTGTAAGTTGCTTTGGATAAAAGCGTCTGCTAAATGTCTAAATGTAAATGTATTGTAATATAATATAATATGTTATTATTATATTATATTATATATAGTTTATCTTGATGTACTAAAATAAATAGAACTAAAACTGAAATAAAAATGTATAAAAACTATATAGACATGTATATAAAAAAAAAAAAAAAAAAACTGACAACAGCAAAATTACTAAACCTTAACTAAAATTAAAATGAAAATATAAAAATAAAAAGCTTATTCAAAATATTACAAACTATAATAGTATCTCAATGATACTAAAATAACCCTGCTCATGTGTCTTAGATTGTTTTTTTTTTTCCTAACATTTTATGTATTACACTTCATGTTGTTCCATAGCTTTCTTTGTGGTGTGGAACACACACTCACTCTCTCACACACACAAACACAAACACACACACACTCACACACACAACACACATTTTTTAGAATGTTGCTGCTGCTTTTTTCTGACTCACTGAAAGCATTTGCTGAAAGAAATTTTATATTTTTTCTTAAATTTTTCTCAGAATGTATTTTCTTGGATGAAGCTTAGCTAGTTGTGCAAGAATGGTTTCATAAAGTGGTGTTTTGTCATCTGTGTCTCTTACAGATCGTGGGAATAATCACCAGACATAATCTTACCCATGAGTTTTTAGTTGCTAAACTCCGACAGCATTACATCACAATCTAAGACTCCGTTCACGATCGAGCACCCAACTTATTACCCAGTAATGGCTTCCTCGAGATGAGAAGAGCCGAATGCTCCGGGCCCTGAGACTAGATCGCCTCCGAACCTGAACCACACTTCAGGTCGCACCCTAAAGCCATTCCTAGTATCTGCGTGGACAGCTAGTGGTCGGCACCTGACCCGACACAAACACACCTCATGCTAGCACTAATGCAGGTGAGGTCCTGTTCATCAACACTCGCTGCCTGTGCTTTATCACCCTCACTGTAGCACTTTTAATTTAGTTTCTCTGAGTTCTGAATGTTTTCATTGTGCTCACCATTTCTGTGTATTCCTGAACGTTTGCTTTTGCACAAAGACTGATAGAAACCACTGACCAATCCCCGGTCAAAAGATTGAATGTCATGAAAACCGTCAAGAACATGTCTGGGTCGTGTTTCATCCTTAAATCAAGCAAAAATCATACTCCTTTCTTTTGAAGAAAATTATTTTTAGGACCTTTAAAATTTTTAGTACTATGTAATTATTTTGATGACTGTTAAGCACATTTCCCCCAAATTAAAAATATATATTTTTATTACTGCACTGCCAAAATATTTAAATAGTATTGCCATATTTTGTATTTATATATTTTGGCATATTTTGCAATGCATATATTTAAAATGTTTTTAAAATTACTGTAGTAATTAGTGTAAAGAAAGTCACCAATATAAAAATAATTTGAATTATGTGTAATTAGACTTTTGCAATTAATGCTAAAAATGCAACAAAATGTTTTATTAAATTGGTTTTCATTTACTTAAAGCAAAATAGTTTTCTTTCCTTTATTTTGGGGGTGAAATGTGACCTGTTTTCATGAGACATTCCTGTCAATTAAAGGGGTCATATGATGAATAGTGTTTATATTACACATCATCCAAAAAAAAAAAAAAAAAGGATTCACAACATATTTAAATCAAACAATATATCCAAAATCAACAAAACACTAAAACATCTATATATATATATGTATACACGCATCAAACCCAATCACCAATATCAATAACAGTGTATATTTACATCAAACAAGTACTTGATTTTATTTTATTTTTACACCCTGATGAAGGCTTGTTAGCCCATCGTGTGGGTGTGTGTTGATACGTTTTTAGCATTATAGCCACGAGAAAATAAAGGCTTTTTATCTTTTACTCCTCCTTAAGCACCTTGGTTTTGCATGATTTTAAGAGTTTTTGTTTGTTTGTTATTTTATGGCCGTCACAACACCGATGGCCACCGGGACAAGATTACAGGAACCAGTTGAGTCCTCTGCACAATCTGACTTTGCTGCAGCCTGGAATTGAACTGCTGGTTTCGTCTGGCCAGAGGAGAACTGGCCCCCGACTGAGCCTGGTTTCTCACAAGGTTTTTTCTCCATTCTGTCACCGATGGAGTTTCGGTTCCTTGCCGCTGTCGCACAGATACTATTTAAACTGAACTGAGCTGGATGGTGACATCACTGAATTCAATGATGATCTGCCTTTAACTGAACACTGAGTGTTTACTATTGTCCTTTTGCATTAATGACACACTATTTTCCTATTTAATGCTGTACAGTTGCTTTGACACAATCTGTATTGTTAAAAGCGCTATATAAATACAGGTGACTTGACTTGTGTATATATATAAAAATTGTAATATATATATTTATTTATTTATTTTTATTATTATTTTTGTAATTTATTCCTGTGATGCAAAAGTTGAATTGTTCAGCATTACTACACTCTTCAATGTCACATGAATTTCAATTCTCTGTGTGTATGTGCTGTACATGTGGAAGAATTGACAATAAAGCAGACTTGACTTGACTTGAGTAATATAATATGATATATGATATGATATGATATGATATAATAATATAATATAACATGACATGATATAATAATATAATATAATATGACATAACATGACATGACATTATAATAATATAATATAACATGACATGATATGATATAATATAATATAATTAATATAACATGACATGGCATGATATAATAATATAATATGACATGATATAATAATATAATATAACATGACATGATGTAACATGACATTATAATATAATATAACATGACATGATGTAATAATATAATATAACATGATATAATATAACATGACATGATATAATAATATAATATAACATGACATGATATAATAATATAACATGACATGATATAATACCATAATATGACATGACATGACATGATATAATAATATAATATAACATGACATGATGTAATAATATAATATAACATGATATAATATAACATGACATGATATAATAATATAATATAACATGACATGATATAATAATATAACATGACATGACATTATAATATATGACATGACATGATATAATTATATAACATGACATGACATGATGTAATAATATAATAACATGATATAATAATATAACATGACATGATATAATACCATAATATGACATGACATGACATGATATAATAATATAATATAATATAACATGACATGACATTATAGTATAATATAACATGACATGACATGATATAATAATATAATTAATATAACATGACATGATATATGATATGATATAATATAATATGACATGACATGACATAATAATATAATGTAATATAATATAATATGACATAATAATATAATATACTTTCAGACAGAATTTTCCCATGATGCACGCAGTGTCTGCTGGGCGTGGTTAAGAGACCTTTTTTTTAAGTCAACAGAACCAAAATTGTCCATATTGACTACAGTATATGGTGATATTCACTCAAATTAAGTCACTTTTGACAGCCATCTCAACTGACCTGAACTGACCATGTGTACATACTCTGTTCCTTCTGTCAGTCGTTTCAGGATTCAGATCAATGGGGGGGAAATCCTGTCCTGACAGAGATGTACCCAGTAAGAGTGTAAGAAAGTCTAAGAACGTCAGTATACCACCCGGAGGATGTTTTGCCTATGGTCATGCATCACATCTGCCACTTTATCTCTCAGTGCAGTGTGAATGAACCCTCAGACTCACCTCCAGCTCCTGCAGGCTGCTCGTCTGATTGGAGGAGATGTAGTTCCCGCTCATTCGCAGTCCCACTGGATTCACACTAGACGCAAGACATCAGTCTCTAACAGTCTGTTAGTGTGTGACACGGAGCGTAGATCTGTAGTTTCTAATGAGAGCAGCGGTCTGAACGGAGGCATTATTCATGCAATCAGGAGCGAGCCTGCTGAGCTTGTGTAATAGGATTAAGGCTGGCATGGCTGGAGTTGTTTAAGGTTAGCGCAGGTGTTGGACTCATTATAGTGCAGTGCTGATGTGTCCTGTAATGAGTCTGATAATGGCCATTAGGAGAGATGGTGTGGCTGGTAAATTAATGGGAGAAAGGGGCTTGATGGTGAGCTGTGGTGTTTCTGTGTTATTGAGTTTAGTTTTGAGGAACAACTCAGAATGATTTAAAAACCAGGATTTTGTCATCATTTTATTATCACTTTCTACAACAAAAAAAAAAACTTAAAATCTGTTCACACTGTTCTTGAAACAACATTTTATTTCAGCTGTAGAAATGTGACAAGAAGAATAACAGAATAACTCTGATGAAGCCCAGCACAAACAAATAGCAATAGATGTTTATCTGAGTCTCTTATTCTTCAGTAAAAGCAGAACTGCACACCAGACAGGAGTACTGCAATCTCATAAACCTCATAAATGAATGCAGAATAAGTAAAACATTATTAATGAACATAATTATCGTGAGTATCGCCATATATCGCATCCTTATTAGCACTCAACTACTTGTACATAATAAATATATCAAACAAATATGAACCATCAGATCATGTAAAGCACAACAGGCATTGCAAAATATGGAAGAATTTTGTAACAAAGTATCGTTGGTTTAATTTCCACGTTACATTCGTTTTCATGTTTCAAGACTTGAACAAAAATTTCCACACAGTTTCAGTTTAGCATGCATTTTATAACAGTATGTATTCATCTTCCTGTATTCTACTCTACAAATTAGTTTTCTATGTCAACTATAATTACTATACATGCAGTTATGAGCTAGTACACTGATATTTATACTACAAAAGGCCCAATCTACTGTTATATGATACAATGAAGTTATTTTCCCCCCATATATTTTAAATTACGTATTGCATTGAGTTCTGTTTTATTCGCAACACTTTACAATAAGGTTCCATTTGTTAGCATTAGTTGACTACATTAATTAAGATGATATTAATCTTAACATTAATTTTTACAATATTAAAATAATTTACAACAAAAGTTGTATTTGTTATATTTAATGGACCTGAGTTAACATGAACTAACAGCGAACAGTTGTATTTTTATTAACTAAATGTAACAAAGATTAATAAACACTGTAATAAATGTATTGCTTATTGTTAAGGTTAGTTCATGTATTAACTAATGAGACCTTATTGTAGAATTAACAGATAATGTCCTGACAGAAAATTAATAGTATTTTTTTTCTGTTTTTTTTTTTTATCACAGTTAACATGAGATATTTTTACTTTTACGTTCATTTGTCACACCACAGGATCATGTAAAATTACTTATTGAAGACATAGATAATAAAAAATGGGGTGGGGGGCTAAAAGTTACAGGACCTTAGCTTTTGACTTAGATTTACTGATTTTTTCTTCTCTTAAATACACGTACATTTTAACCTAGAAAGTTCATGGACAACTGCCCACATGTAAAATCATTTATATATCATAAATACATATTGTAATCTTAACGTCACTTGTATTTACTCATTGTAGCTAACCTTTTTTAGAGTTGCACCCAAGGGTGCTGGAGGACCCTATGCGATCCAGCCGTCCCCCGAAACAGCCAGACAGGCTTTTGCTCCGGGTTGACATGAGGAGATCTACGAGGCGGTTTCTCTGCGTCTCGAATCCATCCGAGGGGTTGCTGTCCTCCGCCGGAGCTGCTTCCTCCTCTCTGTCTCTGTCCCAGGACGTGTTGCTGTCCTCATAATCGACGGCTCTCTCAGGAGCCTCTTCTGCGGCCAGGGCCTCCTCAAACTGCTGCAGCAAGCTCTGGAGAGCAGAACAGAGTAAATTCAGCCGTTCTGTTGAAATGCTTTCTTTTATTGAACTCTATGCTTGTAGTATTCTTTGCATGCTCAAGATGATATTATTGTTTTTTTCCTGTTTGCATCACATTAAATCTCATTCAATTTAAGGCCTCGATGAAACTAACACTGTAAAAAATGGTAACATCTAAAATAGCTTTTATTCAAGTCCAAAAATGTTATTTAAAGGGACAGTTCACCCAAAAATGGAAATTCTGTCATCATTTATTCACCATCATGTTGTTCCAAATCTGTTCTACTTCTGTTGAACATAAAAAGATATTTTGAAGAATATGGGGACCAGAAAAAAGTTTAATTAAAAAATAAAAAATAAAATACTGTGGAAGTCAATGGGTACCATCAAGTGTTTGGTTTCACACTTTCTTCAAAATATCTAATTATGTGTTCAGTAGAAGAAAGAAACTCATACAGGTTTGGAGCAACTTGA